TACAGTAAATACCACTGATAGACAGAAAAATATCTGAATTGAATATTTTGCATTTACTGGTAAGTTATAAATAACAGAGCAATCTGACCTAAAAAGATGAAGGGCCGGCCCTTGCAAAGGCAGTGGAGCGCTGCCAGTCGCAGGCTTCCTGACTGGTCCTTGGAAATGGAAATAGGGAATGAAAAGAGCCTCTGATCACAGGAAGGGCTGGGGAAGAGACAGAGCTGCAATTGTACCAACTTTTGACCTAAAAGAAGTGACATGGACAAAAGGAGAGTGATGTGGGAAAATCCATGAAGAGAGCCTTTCTGCATTCAGGTATAACAACTGATGTTTGTGCCCAATGCAGAGCTACTCCCCGTAACCGTGGCAACCAGGATCCAGGCTACACTTGCATTGTGAGGAGTTTCTGTGCTGTTTTTATTCTTTCATTATGGGCCACAGGTACGGAATTTGGCATTGGTTGTATTTTATGAAACATCCGTTTGCAATATTGCCACTGTAGGGGGGGTAAAATCGTTTCTCTTCTACCCATCTAGGTTATTGGCTGGGACTCTGTAACAAAAGACAAATTAACAAGAGGAAAGCATACACATTTATTTAACATAAGTTTTACGTGACATGGGAGCCTTCATAAGGAAATAAATACCCAAAGAAACAGTTCAACCTGAGTGTCTTTATACTTGCTTTGATGAAGAGCAGAAAGTCCTGAGAAAATGTGATAGGACAAAGGTTATGAGCCAAGGGTAGTAATCTGAGGAAAACCAAGTGAGGCCTGTTCATTCAGATTCCTCTCAGTGTATCTCCATCTGTAGACATAAGAATGGTCTTTTCCTTGGATGTAGAGTGGGCACCTGTCCCTTGAGGGTCCTATGACCTGCCTCAGGGGAGAAGGGGGAGATCAGAGAGTCCTTCCTGCACCTACCATTTCTCAAATTCCTTCAGCTTAAAATATCCAATATGCCAATGTGCCATATGTTAGGATAGCATGTCGTGAACCCTGTCCAAGGTCTTGATCAACCATAAGGATAGAGGGAGACCTGTCTTTGTGTACTCATGTTTGAATCCAGGTAAATGAAATTTGAACCATTGCTATGGTCACTTACCTGGTGTCCCTGCATCTGTCCTTGCTTCCCTCTCCATCTAACTTAACATAGCAGCCAGAGGGGTCCATCCTAAAGGTCATTCAGATTTCATCACTAACACCTCCCTGCTTCCATGGCTTCCCGTCAGGCTTGGGAAAAACCCAAAGTCCTCATCATGACCGACCAGACCTTCATGAACCCAATGGCTCTTTGAATCCACCTCTCACCATCCTTCCCTTTGCCATGACACCTCAGGCCCAGTGGATCCTTGCTGTACCTTGTCTGTGATAGGCACCCTCCCGTCTTGGGGCCTTTTCCTGTAAAAATAATTTTCTTTTGTTTTTTATTAATACTTTTATTAATTTTTTTTAGAGAGAGAGAGACAGAAATATTGATGTGAGAGAGAAACATCAATCGGCTGCCTCCTGCACACCCCCTACTGGGAATCAAGCCTGCAACCTGGGCAGGTGCCCTGACCAGGAATCAAAACAGGACCTCTCAGTCCATGGGACTATGCTCAATCCAATGAGCCACACCGTATGGGCTAAAAATGATTTTAAAATAAGTGAAAAATCCTTTACCCCATAAGCAAATTTTAAAAACCTTTATTTTTAGGGAATAAGACACAGGATGTGAAAAAAAAATTACCTATGCATAGAAAACATAATGTTATCTCACTGGTTAAAAGAAAAAAAAAACACAAAAAAACCCCAGATTACTATTTTCCTGATTTGAGTTACAAAAGTTAATACAAAATGAGGAAGAATAGTCAGATTTTATGTCTTGGAGAGTGAAGGAATTTCCATTTCAGGTTCTTTTGTCTATAAATTTAGTTTGCAAAATTCTAGTATAAATGAAAACTACCCCCCAAAATCCCAAACCCCAACACACACACACACACACACACACACACACACACACATCAAAAAGCAAACAGTGAATAAATTAATCACACTTAGTTTTCACATACTGTGCTCTTTTATACCCACTAAATGGTTTTTAAGATCATTCTAAGTCACACAAAACCATACTCTGTGAAACCTTTAGTTGTAGGTGACTTTGCAAAAGTTTCTCTTTATTTTTATTTTATTTTTTTTAATCCTCACCCGAGGACATTTTTCCATTTTTTGTTCAGGTAGAGTGGGAGGGAGAGAGAGGAACAGAGAGAGAGAGAGAAACATCGATGTGAAAGGAACACATCGAGTGGCTGCCACCCGCACAACCGACCAGGGCCGGGGACAAACTGCAACCGAGGTACGCGCCCTTAGCGGCAACCGAACCCAAGTCTCTCAGGACCGCAGGCCGACGCTCTAACCGCTGAGCCAAACCAGCCAGGGCAAAAGTTTCTCTTTAAAAGACTAACATGTCACATCACAATAAACAGCCCTGGGAAGTCAGAGGGAGAAAAGAGGCCAAAGTAGAATCCATACTTTATGGCCTCAAGCCAATTTCTTCAAAACCATTTGAAAGCACAAAGATATTTTAGTTTTGTGCACCTTTGGGGAAATTCTGTCATGAGAACTTCAGGGTTCTGGCAGAGCAAGTTAAGAAAGTTAGGAGAAAGGGACTTGTGAAAATGTGTATCTGGTTTGCAGATAACTCAGATGTAAACGTGTTTAAATTGTGACAAGGAACATTCTATGAATGTTTAAAAGAGAAAAAAATCAGCTGTAATCACACAGAAGGCTTGTTGTGTTTAAACAATTATACGGATTGCTTAAACACTGTTTGCAAGGCCTCAAATAAGTCATTTCCTCTTCAATTCATTTATTAGAGAAATGTTGCTAGATTCAAAGGCTGAAGCTATGGACTTCCTCTGAATAATTCCTGTTTTTACATAAGTAGATTTGGAACTTCAGACCTAGAGGGGTTCAATGTATGCCACCCCAAGATATGCCATCCTGGCATAAGGATCATTCTGAGCTGAAAGCAAATGAGAAAAAGCAGAGACAGGATTAACTCCCTACTCTCCCTGAAAGCAGAACATAAATTCCCCTCATGAATTCCATACCAGGAAGGGGGTAACAACCTTATCTGGAGCTGAGATGGCACTGAGAAGAGTCTACACGAACAAACCTGACTAACCATTATCTTCCATTAGGTCCCCCAAATACTTACTTCCCCAGCTTGCTTCCCCTAGAAGCCTAAAGCCCCTTTCCTTTGTCTTGTTAATTCTCTACAAAGTTATTATTCTTTGTTAAGATACCATATAAGCCCAAGTTCTAACCACCCCTTTGAGTTACCCATCACTGAGTTTCTCCTGCGGGTATAATGTAGCAAATGTTAATCAATCATGTAGCAAATGTTCTCTTGTTAATCTGTCTTTTGTCAGTAGAATTTGAAGCCTCCCAGGTACAGAGCCTAGGAGGGTTTTTGTCCTCCCCTACAGACCTAAAACACGTGCCCTTGAGAACATGAAGACTCCCTAACATCAGAAACCCATGTCATAGTGGAAGAGTTTATATAGCCTGGAGAACTCTGCAAAGAGAACAAAAGTAACTCCTTCAACTAATCAAGGACTCAAAACAAAATACTGTGGGATTAGTTTTAGGGTAATTTTTGTGGCTTAAGGGAGGCCTGTAAAGTGAGAAAAGTGAGAGGAAAATAACAAAAGTTCTAGTTACTCAATGTTAGAGCCTAAAAGGCACTATTCATCTAGTCCTACATCTCCAGGAACACATTTCTCAGAAGCCAATATTGCCCTGGCCAGTGTAGCTCAGTTGGTTGGAGCATTGTCCTGGGTTGCGGGTTTGTCTCCTGGTCAGGGCACATAGCTGGGTTGCAGGTTCGATCCCCAGTCAGGTACGTATGGGAGACAAACAATTGATGTTTCTCTCTCACATCGATTTGTCTTTCTCTCTGCCCCCCTTCCCATCTCTAAAAATCAATGAGAAACATGTCCTTAAGTGAGGATTAAAAAAATAAATAATGAAGTCAATATTGCGGCAGTCTCCAACAGTGAATTTGGAAGAAGAAAATCTGGGAGTAGTTTGAGTTGGGCTATCTATAGTTGTGTAGCTTGGGCAAGTCTCGGCACCTCTGTGGACCTGTTTCATCATCTGTCAAGTATACAGAATAACAGTCTTGGCTTAGAACTGTGAAAACGATCAAGTGAGAGCCTAGGTATGTGCAGTTCTGAGCTCTGGTGGCATCTCAAAATAACTTGAGGAATTAAAAAAGAAATGTTGATGCCTGGGTTGCAGCCCACAGATTCAGATATAATTGTTCTCGGGTTAGCCCTCAGCCTTGGCAGTGTTTAAAGCTCCCCAAATGATCATAATATCTAGCCACAGCTGAGAATAAATTGCCTATTGCTAAAGTAGTACTTCTCAAACTATCTTGGACAGGATCACTTGGGGATCCTGCTAAAATTAAGATTCAGAGTCAGTAGCTTGGGGCCTGAGAGTCTGTATTTCTAACAGGCTTGTGGGTTATGTTGAGGTGCTCTCAACACTCTGAGGATAGCAAAGTACAATGTGGCCACAAAGCACAATGCAGTCACCCACTTTCTCGCCTAACTACCAACTTTTAGTGATAATGATGTGAACTTCAGCAAATGACTTTCTTTCCTTCTTCTTAGAGTTGTTTTAAGAACAGTGTGTACAATATTTTAAAAACAAGCATAAAAGTATGATTCAAATAAAAGGTATCACTCCAGTTGTCTGTTGTTTAGAATATTTATTTATTTATTTTTTAATGTTTTTATTGCTTTTTAGAGAAAGAGGAAGGGAGGGGGGGAGAGAGAGAGAGAGAGAGAGAGAGAGAGAGAGAGAGAGAGAGAGAGAAACATTGATGTGAGAATGGAACATCGATTGGCTGCCTCCTGCATGCACGCCCCCTACCTACCAGGGGATCAAGCCTGCAACTTGAGCATGCATGGGAGGATGCCCAACCAACTGAGCCACAACGGCCAGGGCCAGAACATTTATTTACAATCACAAGCACACCCAATTGCTATGATACCACTGCTCCCCACATTCATTACAGATTACATAGGTCATCATTTCTTCATCTGGGTTTGAATTCCGCACCCAGCTTGGAAGGAAAAGTGTTCCTCTGGCGATTACAGTAACCTTGCAATTGAACTTCTCACAGCGTCTGCATTTTATTTTCTTTGTCTGTGTACCCTCGATCATTTGGGGAAGGCAGTGCTCCTGTATGCCAGATTTCGTGTAGGAAGCTCTCAACTGTTTTAGTTCCTTGCTTGCCATTTCCATGACAGTCATTTCAGCAAATTCTCTTGGCGACATAGTCCCAGAGAGCAAGTTTTGTTGTAAGTGAGAATTTTGGGGGTTTTTCAGATTGGCGACTTTGCTTCTGATACAAGTTTTATATTTTTTGAGGTTCTTTGAATAAAGGGTAAAAATGTGCTCTTCAATTTCTCTTGCGAAGTTTTGCCACAATTCGGCTTTGGGCTGCTCTGTGGAAGAACCAGTTAAAGCTTCATAAAGAAGCTCTGAGCATTTCATTCTCACGGGAACTGCAGGATCCAGCAACTCACCTGATCCCTTGTCAGTGGATTTAGGGTCACCACCCTTGACATACTCTTCCTTAGGTACCATTCGACTAGAACTATTTTCAAGCATGCTCTTTTCAGTGGCTTTTGCCATAACATCTTGGGACGATAGCAGAGAATCAGAACTGGAGCTGCCCAAGGTCTCATCTTGACTTGAGTCATCGGAAAGTCCTGAATTTTTGTCCTTTCCACCCACAGGGAAGAATTTGGGCCTGTCCCTTGGTTTGAAATGAGGATCCTTATAAAGAGCTTTCCATTCTGACAGCAAACACTTGGCTTTCTTTTTCAAAGCCACTGTGGGACAGTTTTTGAGGACCCGGTACACAGCCCTGACCACATCTGTCTGCTGGAGGTGCTCCTTAGTTACATGCAGACTTTCTAGCTCCATGAGGTGGTTGCCAAGATCCTCAAAGTTTCTCTCAGACATCAGTTGCTCAATAAGGGAAGCTCTGGCAGCTATCTCGATCTTGTCAGACATTTTCACAGCTACAAAGAAAAAAAGAGTTTTCCATTTTCTTAGGCTTGCGTTTGCCAGTCACAGCTTCCTGAGAGTAGCATGGCACTTTTTGCCAGTTACCTACATGGTGTTTTCTAAAGGCGTTAGGTAATAAAAATGGGTGTGACATGTTAGAAAATGAGATCTTCAGGGTGCCATGGTTTAGTTTCAAATATTTGATTCTCAGTAGTTAAAAAAAAAAAAAAAATCAGCCCCGAAAATAGCTTCTGCATTAATAGCTGCTTAAAGGAAGCTTGCTGGAATATCTGCTATAACTTTTGTCACCTCTAATTTTACAAATCAGTGAGCTTCATGACTCAAGACTCGTCAGTTCCTTTGCACGGAATCTGGCGGTCATGTTGGGGATGAAATCATGCCAGTGTCAACATCAACAGGGTACGGCTGAGCAAGGCTGGACTACTTCCTCCCATTTCAGCTATATAATGGAACTACTTGCTGATTTTATAATCTATATGTGGTACTTTTCTGAATATAAAAGAATGAGAAACAGGGCAAAAGGGGATGCTATTGAGATATCCCAAGGAATTTAAAGAAGTCGTGAGCTAGCACAGGTTAGGAGGCACTGGAGCCAGGTCTGATGAGCCCCACTGTGCTAACAACTGAGTCTTCTGAACAAAGGAGTAAAGGTCCAGACTAAGCGATCCAGAGGATTTATGACATTGGACTAACTGGTCCTTAGGCCAGAGTTTGGTTCTGTTAACTTTTTTCTTTTTCTTTTTTTTTTTTTATCCTCACCCGAGGACATTTTTCGATATTTTGTTCAGATAGAGTGGGAGGGAGAGAGAGGAAGAGAGAGAGAGAAACATCGACGAGAAAGGGACACATCGAGTGGCCGCCACCCGCACGACCTGACCAGGGCCGGGGACAAACTGCAGCCGAGGTACATGCCCTTAGCGGGAACCGAACCCGGGTCTCTGTAGACCGCAGGCCAATCCTCTAACCGCTGAGCCAAACCGGCCAGGGCCCTTTTTCTTTTTTTTTTGTAACTTCTGGGTGTAAAATGGTTATGTCTGTGTGAATCTTATCCTAGGCAGGCAAATGTTTACCTTACCAGTCTATTTTTCTCTCCTCATACTGTACATAATCTTGCCTACTGATACCTGTGGATCTAGATGTGCCCATCTGGTCTAAATGAGAACCTAAGCATCTTGATGGCAGGAACCCTGTCTTTTAAAAGTTCATGGACTCCCATTTTACAGCACTTGGTTTTAAATAACCATCACTAAAAATACACAGGCTAACAACATGAAGCAGTTACAGAGAGAATGAATGTAGTCTTCCCAAAAGCCATCTGACAAGTGCTGTAAAATGTAATGTCCTTTAGGCAGCAAATCTACTTCTATAAATTTACTTTAAGGAAACGACAGATGTAGGGGTTGTCTATGTAAGAATTTTCTTCAAACTGAGAAGAAACTAGAAGGTCCCAAGTAGTTAAACTTCCACATGAGTGTCCATAGCAGCATTGTTCATAATAGACAAAAAGTAGAAATGACCCAAATGTCCATCAAATGATGAATGAATACACAAAATGTAATATATCCATATAATGGAATGTTATTTGTCAATGAAAAGAAACGAGATTCTGATACATACTACAACATGGATAAACCTTGAAAACACTATGCTACGTTAAAGGCACAGAAGAGCCCTGGCCGGTTTGCCTCAGTGGTCAGAGCATTGGCCTGCTGTCCAGAGAGACCTGGGTTTGGTTCCCACTAAGGGTGCGTGCCTCGGTTGCAGTTTGTCTCCAGCCCTGGTTGGGTCGTGTGGGTGGCAACCACTCATGTGTCCCTTTCACACTGATGTTTCTCTCTCTCTCTCTCTCTCTCTCTCTCTCTCTCTCTCTCTCCCTCCCTCCCTCCCTCCCACTCTATCTGAACAAAATATTGGAAAAGAAAGAAAAAAAAAAACGGCACAGAAGACCACAACCACATATTGTATGATTCCATTTCTATGAAATGCCCAGAATAGGTAAATCCATAGAGATACAAAGTAAATTGATGGTTGGCTAGGGCTGGAAGGTGGTGGGACCAGTGGGTTGAATGAAAAGGGGAATAGCTGTTAATGGGTACATAGTTTTTCTTGGGGGAAGTGAAAAATCTCTAAAGTTGATTGTGGTGGCGAGTTGTACAACTGTCAATATACTAAAAACCACACATACCATTAAAATTAACCATCTTAACCCTTTTCAAGTGTATAGTTCAGTAATGGTAAGTACATTCAGTGTTGTGTAACCAACTTCAAGAACTTTTCATCTTGTACACTAAAATGTACAGCTTATTTTTTAAAATATATTTTTATCGATTTTTAGAGAGGGAGAGAAACACTGATGTGAGAAACATTGATCAGTTGCCTCCAGTACACACCTCAATCAGGGATCAAACCCACAATCTGGGTATGTGCCTTGGCCAGGAATCGAACCAGTGATCTTTCAGTGCACAGTACATGGGGCAATGCTCAATCAACTGAGTCACACCAGTCCAGGGCAGTGTACATTTTAAATAGGGGAATTATATGGTATACAAATTATATCTGAATAAAGCTGCTAATTAAAAACAACATATAGAGCCCTGGCCTGCAGACCGAAATGTTGCAGGTTTGATTTCCAGTCAAGGGCATGTGCGTGGGTTTCAGGTTCAATCCCAGTCCCAGCAGGGATTGTGCAGGAGACAACCAATCAATGTCTCTCTCTCACATCGATGTTTTTCTCTCTTTCACTCCCTCCCTTCCATTTTATCTAAAAAAATCAATGGAAAAAATATCCTCAGGTGAGGATTAAAAAAATAAAAACAACATATAGAGTCTAAACTAAAAGTTACTTAAAAATCACATGTGAAAAGGCCGAAAACAGATATACAAAATTTTAGACTGGCATGTTCTGAATGGTAAGATTTAGGTGATTATTGTTTGGTCTCTTACTGCTTTCTGTATTTTCTATGATGACTATGTATTATTTTCAAAATCAGAAAAGTTATTAGTCTAATATAATTTCATGATAAACTTTATATACATGTAAGACGTGTCTACTGAAAAATGGCAGTGTAAATACACAACCTGGGCAGTCTTTTTTTTTTTTTTTTTTTAAAGTCATTTAACAGTCACTGAATGGGCCATCAATTCATGATCTTAAGTGGCTATTTTTCTAATTATTGATTCAGTACTTCAAGATCATTGTTTTCCTTTTTAAGATTCTACCTCCTCCAAATAAAAGGCTCAGTAAACAAAGAACAGGCAAGATATCAAAGAAAAATAAAAAAATACACACCTCAATTGCTGGATATCTGTTTCAAAATTGTTCGCCTGACATCTTGGGATCTGGAGGAACTCAAGCGGCCATGTTATGATGATGAGGTCTCAAGCCCTCCCCCACTTGCTGGAAAGTTTCCTAACAAAGAAGAAAATTCATCCTGCCTGCATTCAATATTCATTCTATATGCATTAATACCAAAGAAATCAGGATTGAAGTTTGCTGGATGTTAGCAAGCTGGTTAATAGGAAACAGGTCCAGAGTGCCCACAAGGAGATTAGGCAATATTTAACTCAGGTCAGAATTTCTCAATGAAGGGTCAGAGTCTCAAGGAGATGCTGAAGGGGAATTTAACTGTAGCTTCAGGGCGTCAATGTCATGAGAGTAGCAGTCTGGCATCCCAGCAAAAGTTGTTTCTTACGCAAACCCACAGAAGTTAATGCATTCACGTGTAAGCACTTTGCTCTTCACTCCATACATCTCTCTATTTACCTCTCCTCTGTATTCATTCATTTTCAAATTTTTGTTTGTTAATCCTCATCAGAGGATATTTTTTCTATTGACTTTTAGAGAGAGTGGAAGGGAGGGAGAGAGAGACAAAGAGAGAGAGAGAGAGAGAGAGAGAGAGAGAGAGAGAGAGAATAACATCGATTGGTTCCCTCCCATACGCACCCTGACGGGGCTGGGAATTGAACCTGCAACCCAGGTACATGCCCTTGACTGAGAATGGAACTCACAACCCTTCAGTGCGCAGGCTGACACTCCAACCACTAAGCCACCCCAGCCAGGGCCATTTTTTTAAAATGTTTTTATTTTATTTTTTTTTCTTTATTGATTTTAGAGAGAGGAATGGAGAGAGAAATAGAAACATTGATGAGACAGAACATCAATTGGCTGCCTCCTGCATGCCCCCCACTGAGAGTTTGGCCCACAACCTGGGCATATGCCTGGACCAGGAATCGAACCGGGACCTCTCAGTCCATGGGACAAACCTCAATCCACTGAGCCACACCAGCCAGGCCAGAACTCTTTTTCATCTTGCAAAACAAACTTTGTACACATTAAACACTAACTCCCCATTCCTTTCTCTCCTCCTTCCCCACAGCCCTGGGCAACCATCATTCTACTTTCTATCTCTGTGAATTTCACTACTTTAGATATCTCATATAAGGGGAATCATACAGTATTTATCTTTTCATAACTGGCTTATTTCTCTTAGCATAATATCACCAAGTTTCATCCATGTTGTAGCATGTGTCAGGATTTCCTTCCTTTTTAGGGCTGAATAATATTCCACTGAACGAAGAGACCACATTTTGCTTATCCATTCATCTGTTGACGGACACTTGGGTTGCTTCTAGCCTTTGGCTCTTGTGAACAGAGATGCTATAAATACAGGGGTACAAATACCTCTTCGAGGCCCCGCTTTCACTTATTTTGGGTAAATACCCAGAAGTAGGATTGCTAGATCATATGGTAGTTCTATTTTTAATTTTTCAAGGATCTGCCATACTGTTTTTCATTCTCCTCCATATTTTTAACTGCATTTAAATCCCGTCAAACTTTCTATTCCCCCTACGGGACAATCATGTGAATATAAAACACTTATTACCATAGGAGGGTATAGTGTGGAAGCAACTGGGATACAAAATTTTGAGAACTTTCATAAAAAGACAAAGTAATCTGTGTATCCCGTTTAAAGTTCTACATAGTTAATTCAATAAATATTTATCATGTATCGAGTACATGATAGATGCTGAGCCTAAAGAAACAGTCTCTGCTTTGAAGGAGTTGCCAATCCAGTGGAAGGAATACAATCAATAAAATAGCCAATTATGCTCCACAAGGACAGATACCACCCACTAGGGGACACACACAGGAGGAATACTGAAACCAAATCTGGACTTGCCGTCATCTGGCCAGCTCCAACTGCTTCTTCACTGCCTTCACAGCACTTTGTTAGAGGGGTCATCCTCTACTACAGATCCTAGCAAGATATTCCCTCATTTTCCCACTTAGAGCCCTTCAGGGGTTCCCTTCTGCTCTTAGGCTGGAGCTGAGGTCCTTGACCAGGTATCGAAAAACCCCCTTCCAGCCTCCTCTGTGTCCCAGCTGAACCACCAACAGGTGCTGTCCACTTCACACCTCTGGGCCTTTGCTCTGGTAGCTCCCTGAGCCTGGTTCTCAAGCCTCACTGCAAATTCCAACTTGAGCAGCAAAAACAAAAACAAACATGCCAGGCCATTATTTGATAGAATAGATCAGAATGAATTAGACCCTCTGAAGGTAGGCCTGAGTATTTTTCCAGCTCTTCAGGTGATTCTGATTTAAACCAGAGCGGCCACCTCTGCACAGGCACAACTCCCTTCCCGAGTCAGGACCGTCCCAGGGATGCTGCTATTAGACCAAAAGACAGCTCCTGTCCTGCTCCTAGACTGAACGCCCAGAACCTCTGTGATTTTTCTAGATGAGCCCCATTAAATCAGGAAATATTAAAAACACCTGCTGTACACAATTAATCTGAGAACCTTCTCTACAAATTACAAATGGTGACTGCCATGTTTTAAGTGTCATGATGCACCCAATTCCCCATATTCATTCCCTCACTTACCTCTTAACAGCAGAAGGCAATATATATTTATTGAGCAACTCTACATGCCACAAACACTCATGTCATCTCAATCCTCACAATAACCGAGACAGGCTAATCTCCATCTTACAGATGAGGAAACCTGTTAAAAACATCGAGTAAACACTGTTTTTTCATGGTGCCTATCACATTAATTTTTTTATAGTCTGTCCTGCCCACAGGACCATAAGAATGACGTTTATTTAATTCACTGATAAACACCTGACCAGTGCTCACCATTACTCGACAAATATTTTTTTGTTAAATTCAGCATGTATCCTCCTCTCTGCTTGTGAGCTTCATTCTTTTCACTACAGACCACCTTGCTTGTACCTACTGCATCTAAGCTCAGGGCACCTTCGGCTTCTTCAACGAGAGACCAACCTCATCTCAATTCTAGTATAAAAAACTCATTAGCAGAAATTCTAGTTAAAAAAAAAAAAAAAAAAAAGAAGCATGGTGTCTACTGTGGGCTTATCCAGTGGGCTCCATTTGGGGATAAGGAAGGTCAAGAAGGTACAGTTCCCAAAAGTGAGGTGTGTTGAGCATACTGGGTAAGCTTCATGACCATTCTGTGCTTCATTTTCCTCATCTACTAAATGGAGAAAATCCAACATCCTAGGATTAATATGAGAATTAAACTAGATAGTCCTTATAAAGTTCTTAGCACTAGGCCTGTCACACAGTAAGCCTGACTGACAATTACACAGGACTACGATGAAAAGGTTTACATATATCTACCATACCAGGCATTGTTCTAGAATAGGAGGTTGGCAAACTTTTTCTTTAAAATGCCAAATAGTAAATATTTCAGGCTTCCCAGGCCATCTGATCTCTGTATGCACTAGTCAACACTGCTGCTCTTGTAGCAGCAACAACAACCATGGCTCTGCTCTAATAAATCTTTTTTTTCAAAGACAGGCAGGCTGGATTCGGCTGCAGGTCATAGTTTGTGGACCCCTTCTAGAGCATTGCTGTCCAATAGAAATATAATGCAAGCCACAGGATTTAACACTGTCTAGCAGCCACGTTAGAAAACAAGTAAAATTAATAGTACATTTTATTTAACCCAGTGTATCCAAAATACTGCCATTTCAACATGTACTAGATATAAAAATTATTGAGATACTTGATATTTTTTCATACAAATTCTCAAAATTTTTTGTTTTATATTTACTGCACAACTCAATTCAGGCTAGGTGCATTTCAAGTACTCAGTAGCCTTATGTAGCTAGTGGCTACCATATTGGACAACAGTTCTAGAGCATATGTTAATATAGATAATGCTTAGACACACACCTATACCCCGAGCTCCTGCGTACGTATTAAAAAAGGAGTTTATACAGCGCCAGCAAGATATGCCCTAAATATCTGTTGACTGAATGCATATAAAAGCTTGTACTTATGGACTAATACGACAACATAGGCGCACACATCTGGCCTAAACTCAAAAGAGGGGAAAGATCAAAGAAAAATTTCCAAAAGTTGGTAACAAATCAGCAGTAACTCGAATCCGTTTAGACCTTTAGATCGCCCTAAAATCGAATCCAGCTACACAGGGTGTCCCTTGCTCTGTGGAGAGAAATGCAAAATGTCCGCAGGATTTTCTGAACTGTCACTCAATACTGCGCTAGGGCCCTCTCACGTTAAGATGATCCCTAGCAAAGGTGCAGTGAGTGGAAGGGACCAGCCCAAGGGCCCGCTGTGGCCCAAGTTCGGGTTCCAGTGAGTGGAGTGGAGCGACAAGCAGAGCCTGCTGTAATCGTCCGGGGGTGACAGCCTGGCACCCAACACAGAAGCAGCGGCGGTCCCGAGGGATCTGCCCACCCTTGCAACCTCGGCTGGAGGAGAGGAGGGGATAAAGAAACTCCCAGGTCTACCTCGCCCGGCGACACCCTCCAGACCCTCCCCTAGCAGGTGGGCAGAGGCCCAGGCGAACCAGGGCGTGGCTCACCAAGAAACGCAGGAGAAGCTGGGAAGCCCTCGGTGGACTCCGTGTCTAGACAGGTCTCCGGGTTTCCAGGGCGGGACCACAAAGGCTCAACCAATCAAGGCCCGCAGATTAGAAAACACAGCTCGGATTCAGCGCGTGCGTGCTAGGGAAATGGCGCTTGCGCAGAGCGATCAGCGACCTTGGGACCCTCTCTGAGCATCGCGCTGGAGGAGGTCCGCCTCGGGCCAATAGTCCAGCATCTGGGCTTGGATTGAGAAAAGTAGCGCGGGCGTTGTTTTTGAGCAGCAGTGTTTGCGGAACTACTCTACAACGTGCCATTTCTGCTTCCAGTCAAGACAGTTCTCAGCTAAATATTGACAAAACTTTGGACGAAAAGTTAATTATCTATTTACTGCAGTAATTAATTCCACAAGTATTGTACCCCTAGTATGCATCAGTTGATGTGAAAGCAGTAGATATTCATTAAGTAGCCATGTGTATCCTGCACTAATCACCTGTACACATCTTTCCCTGCAAGGGTCCAATAAAACCAAAGTGATGGTAGGAGTAGAAAATGTGGCAGCCTTCTTTGCAGATCTCCTATAAGGCAACTTGGGGGAAGGCTCAAGGTAGCAGATCTTTGCTCTGGATTAAATGCTGTGGGAAGCAGGGTGATTCTATGATGAAGCAATGTAATAAACCTTACCTAGAAGGAGGGAAGACAAGACCAAGACTAAATCTGTAATTAGTAAAAAACAAACAAACAAAAAAACCCAGAACCAAAAACAAAACAACTACAAAAAACCCCCGCAGTGACTCAGTTTTAAAAACTGTTGAAATACTGCAGGTCCATTCTGGACGTAACCTAAGAGACTTTCATTTCAAAAGGGTGGAATGGGGAGGAGGTTGTCTAGGGAGAAAAAGGAGAAACATCTGTAACAAAAATAAATTAATAAAAATTGAAAAAAAAAGTTTATTACTATAAGATTGTTTCTGTCACAAGAACAAAGTGAGACACCTATAAATCTAATTTATTGAATGGGCTGGGCTCTGTAGGGTGTCTGTAAGACTAAATATTTTTTTCCCACCATTGCCTTGAAATAAACTCTGTAGGCTCTCTCCCCTTCCCGATGGCTCCTCCAGGACTGGACCTTGAGGCCTGAGCAAACCCCACAACTTTTCCAATTACTTACAGGTATAAATAAATCATCTTATTTTTTAGGTTATTAAAATCCATTCTAACCTAATATAAAAAAATCAAGTACTCATCCAATTCTAAGCTCTGACCTTCCCTCAGCTCAGGTGTGGTTTGTAACTTTGGAACGGCAAAGGGAAAGACATATGGGCCAATTTTTTCATTCACCTTATTGCACCCTGTTTCTGCTTATTGCAGTGTAGTGTAGAAGAGGAGAAAGGAGTGATAAAAAAAAAGGTCTTATTTGATTAGTCTTGTAGGTTGAATGGTGTTCCCCCTCCCCAAAGATAGATATGTATACTTCCTAACCCTCAGAACTTGTGAATGTGACCTTATTTTTTGGGGGGAAAGGGGGTCTTTGAAGATATAATTAAGTTAAGGATCTCAAGATGAGATCATCCTGGATCACACAATGACAAGTGTCCTTAGAAGAGACAGAAAAGGAACAAATGCAGAGACAGAGGAGAAGGCCACATGAAGACAAAGGTGGACATTGGAGTTATGCAGCCATGAACCAAGGAACTCCTGGAGCCACCAGAAGCTGGAAGAAGCAATGAGGGATTTTTCCCTTAGAGCTTTTGGAGGGAATGTTGTCCTGCCAACCCCTTGAAGTTGGACTTCTGGCTCCAGAACTGTGACAGAATAAATTTCTGTTGTTTTAAGCCACCCAGTTATGGCAGCCACAGGAAACTAATATGATGAATGATTTTGTTACCTGGTATTGGAACTCTGTGTGTGCTAATGTCCAAAGGCTGCCTCTTTTGTTCTTTTTATGGGCTCAGTTTTTGGAGACCCCCCCATTGCTGGGGGCCCTTTCCCAAGCATTCTCTGGTTCAGATGATATGCTCTCTGGTTGACTACTAGCTCCTGCTTTTGGCCATAAGTCCCACCCAGCCTTTTTCTGTTTGGTCACCTTATTTGCAGATGAGCCTCTTAGGCAGCATCCTTCCAAAAAAGTCTAAGCCCCGCTACTTGCTTGATGCATGCTTCGCCCATTGGAAAACCCCAGCAGCTCTGACCCCTACTAATCCCTCTACAGCCACTCTCTTTGCTGCCATAGGTAGTCTTAGGCAGCCCCAGCTAGCTTCTCACATGTTGAGTTTTTTGGGAGAGTCAAGCACCATTTCTTATGCCCTTTCATGACAGAGGAACCTGTCAATCTTTCTGAGTGGTTCTCTCAAAGTCCCCTCCACTTGCCTGGAAGGTGGGAGGAAGCTTCCAGAATTCTAACAGCCCTCTTTTACTCTTGCCTTCTCTTTTACATAAGCTGAAGAGGGGTAAGAAGCCATAGATGGCAGAAGTAGTTTGGGCTCTCCACTTAGCCCTGTGTAGATGGTCTAGCATGTCTCTTTAGAATCAGTGGGTACTTAACAGTGTGCTCAGCTTTGGGATCTTGGGTGAAACTCCAAGTCAGGAAGAGTCCCATTTAATGCCCTCTTGTACCTGTAGTAATCTTTAGGTCATTTCATACATCTTGTTCACCTTTCTGACACCATTAGTCCATTTTGTCATTTCTCTAGAATGTGGATTATTCTACCATAGATTCATGGAAACAAATTACCAGAGAAATGAAGGACCAGAACATCTGGCTTTAATCAGTTCTTGGTGCAGATCATAAGATGGAAATTTAGAGGCAATGAAACAATATTTATACTACTTGGTTACTGGGGATGCTTCAAAATTACATTTAATAAGAAAAATATAGAAAAAGTACAAAAAGAAATAAGACAAAAGGATGCCAACTCTATTCAAAGACCTGCCTACTCAATTGCCTTTTGCATTGCTGTTAAGAAATCTGAGCTGAAGCACACCACTGAAATTTCATTTTGTCAGAGTGGCTTTTGTCAGGAGGAGTGCAGTCTGCCAGTGATCCTGATGTGTGGACTGCTCTGTGAAATAAGTCACTTCATTTTGGTTCTCAGCAGTTCATTGGAGTAGCAAAACATAAGCACTGAACTAAAAATTAATAGTCCATGCTGCTTCCTTGTCTTTTGTTCTTGTACCGTGTAGCTTCAAGTCTCATTCTTGTGGACTGACTCTGTACACCCCATTCGCAGCCCTCCTTTCATGATATTATAACCTGGGCATGCTGCCAGAAGGAATGATTCATTAAAAAAGGCAATATAGCAGGTGACATGATACTGTATATAGAAAACCCTAAAGACTCCACCAAAAAACTACTAGAACTGATAAATGAATCCAATAAGGTAGCAAGATATAAAATAAATATCCAGAAATCAATTGCATTTGTATACAGCAATAATGAACTATCAGAAAGGGAAAGTAAGAAAACAATCCCATTTATTAGTCTTTAATTTTTTTCTTTATTGATTTTAGAGAGAGAAGAAGGGAGAGGGAGAGAGAAATAGAAACATCGATGAAAGAGAGCATAGATTGGCTGCCTCCTGCATGCCCCCCACTGAGGATTGGGCCCACAACTTGGGCATGTGTCCTGACCAGGAATGGAACTGGTGACCTCTTGGTGCATGGGTCAATGCTCAACCACTGAACCACAGCAATCGGGCCCATTTATAATTATATCAACAAAAAATACCTAGAAATAAATTTAACCAGGGGTGAAAAAGACCTATACTTGGAAAACTATAGGACAATGAAGAAAGAAACTAAGAAAATAGAAACAAGTAGAAGTATATATCATGTTCATGGATAGAAAGAATTAACATCATTAAAATGTCCTTACCACCCAAAGCAATCCATAGATTCAACATAATTCCTATCAAGACAACACTGGTGTATTTCACAAAATCAGAACAAATATTCCAAAAATTTCTATGGAACCACAAAAGACCCCAAATAGCCACAGCAAATTTGGGAAAGAAGAACAAAGTTGGAGGAATCACACTACCTAATATCAAACTATACTACAAGTCCATACTAACCAAACAGTATGGTACTGGCATAAAAACAGACATATAGACCAATGGAAAAGAATAGAGAGCCACAAAATAAACCCACAGCTTTATAGTAAATTAATATTTGACAAAGGAGGCAAGAACATACAATGGGGTAAAGATAGTCTATTCAATAAATGGTGTTAGGAAAATTGAACAGATGTGTGCAAAAAAATGAAACTAGATCACTTTCTTGCACCACACACAAAAATAAACTCAAAATGGATTAAAGACTAATGTTAGACTTGAAACCATAAAAATCCTAGAAGAAAATACAGGCAGTAAAATCTTAGGCATTTCTCATAGCAATATTTTTTCTGATTTATCTCCTTGGGCAAGGGAAACAAAAGAAAAATAAACAAGTGGGACTACATCAAACTAAAAAGGTTTTGCACAGCAAAGTAAAAGATCAACAAAATGAAAAGACAACCCACTGAATGAGAGAACATATTTGCCAATGATACATCTGATAAGAGGTTAATATTCAACATTTATAAAGAGTTTATACAACTCAACACCAAAAAATAAACAATCCAATTAAAAAATGGGCAAAGGACCTGAATAGACACTTCTCCAAAGAGGACATACAGATGGCCAGTAGACATATGAAAAGATGCTCAATGTCACTAATCATCAGAGAAATGCAAATTAAAACCACAATGAGCTATCACCTCATATCTGTCAGAGTGGCTATTATCAATAAATCAACAAACAAGTGCTGGTGAGAATGTAAAGAAATGAGAACCCTAGTGCACTGTTGGAGGAAATGCAGAATGGTGCAGCCACTGTGGAAAAAAGTATGGAGTTACCTCAAAAAATTAAAAATGGAACTGCCTTATGACCCAGTGATTCCACTTCTGGGAATATATTTGGAAAAACCTGAAACACTATTTGAAAGAATATATGCACTTCTATGTTCATTGCAGTGTTATTTACAATTGCCAAGGTTTGGAAGCAGCCCAGATGTC